GCTGTGCCATGAATCACAAAGTCCTTCATCTCTGACCTAAGAGTCTCATGCATCTCCTGTCAACATCAAGATTGAGATCGCTTCACTGGGCAAGGGATATAGCTCAGTTGGCAGAGGATTTGCATGCATTAATTTATTGTTCCCTGATTCTTGTCTATGGATATGGCTTCAAGTCCCTACCACCTTGACTGCCCCTCAACGACAGACCACAACTTGAAATTATGAGCTAAAATAAACCCATTCTTCCCTAAGTTGCCTTTGTCAAGGTATGTTATCACAGAAACAGAAATTGAAACTAAGACAATGGCTCAGGTGGCAGTTTGCTATACAAGCACAAAGATATGAGTTTGAGCCCCAGAACTTTGTAAAAGTGCAAGGTGTGGTGCCATGTGCTTGCAATCCTAGAGCTGGGGAGTTCAAGACAGGTGGGTCCCTGGGGCTCACTGATTGGCCAGCCTAGCCTGCTTGCCAAGTTCCAGGGCATTGACTCTGTCTCAAAAAAAAAAAAAAAAAAAAATGGTGGAAGGGGCCCAAGGAACAACACCCAAGATCATCTTCTGACCTACACATGTACATGCATACAAGTGCAGGCATACCTGTATACATGTGCACCCCCTCCACACACACAAACACCAAACACACAAAGATTTAGATTATCTAATTGTAAGGTGCTCCAACTTTGATAGAAATTCACTGCACCAGTGGTACTCATGAGCTGTTTCCCACCATTTTAGAACTCCAGGAACTGGTATAAGCAAAGCTTGCTAAAGCAGAGAGGGCAGCCATTAGCCTAAGGTAGATTCTGTAATCAGAGCTCTGAGGTAAGCAACCAGGAAATTAGCATGGCAATATTTCATGCAACATAACAAACAGCAAAAGATAACCCTCAAGGCAGTCAAGTAATGCCCCATTCCCTATACCCTAATAAGACAGTTACCTCACTATAGCCAATCAGATAGCTTTTCTACTTGTTTCTGCATCTGAGTTGTAAAAGCTTATATTGAGCTGTAGCTCAGTTGGCAGAGTGCTTGCCTAGAATGCATAAAGCCCCGAGTTCCATTGCTAGCGCTGCATAAACCAGGGAAGATGGTACATGGCTGTAATTCTAGCACTTGGGAGATGGAGGGAGGAGGATTAAAATTCAAGTTGGAGGCTAGCCTAGGCTATGTGAGACCTTAGCTCAAACAGTAACAATAATAATAATAATAATAAAAATCCCAAAAAGGAGTCATCAGGGTTGAGTGTGGGGATGGGAAGGGTATCCCCTTGGAGAGTACTAAGACATTTTCTGCTGGACAGACCATGCATCTCTTCCTCCTGGGCTAGGATGCTGGCTTAAGTGCCTGTATCGATGAAGCCATACAAGTGAAATCCACACTCTCAAGTTCTCCAATATACTTGATAAGAGGCACAGGGATACTGTGGTCCACCCTTAGTGATCTTCTTCTTGCTGTGTAGCCCAGGCTGGCCTGGAATTCTAGATCCTCATGCCTCAGCCTCCTGGGAGCTAGGATTACAGGTGTGTCACCATGCCCAGCAAAGCAGCTGCTTTAAGATAGTACCCATGATCCCACAGGTCAGGAGTACAGTCTGGGCTCAGAAGGTATGGATGCTTAGACCTTGACTGGGAAGGATCCTGGTCAGGGTTCCCACTGCAGTTGCTGACCTGGGCTACTGTACATGGACTGTCTGACACCTGCTGACCTGGGCTACAGCACACAGGCTATCCAATGCCTCTCTTCTTCACAGCATACCTTTGGGACTCAGCCCTATGACATACTCAGATTCAATTAAGAGGGTTTCATTAAGAGGCACAATTGGTCAGCTTTCCCATTACTATAACAAATACCTGAGACAGTCAACATATAAAGAAAAAATATATTGCTTTATCTCACAGATTAAAAGGTTTCAGCCCTTGATCTGTTGACTCTGCTGCCTCAGGCCTCTGATGGCACAAGATGGCAGGAATGTGTGGCAGAGCAGAACCATTCATCTCAAGGTCAGGGAGCAAAAGAAAAAGGAGGAGACCAAAGTTCCACAGTTTCCTTAAAGGGCATACCCCCTCAATAAGCCCCATGTCTCCAAAGGTTCTACTACCTCTCAACAGCATCATCTGGGGACAATGCCTCTAACATATGGGCTTTTAAGAGATGCCCAAGGGGCTGGAAAGATGGCTCAGCAGTTAAGAGGGCTTGCTTCTCTTTCAGAGGACCTGGGTTCAGTTCCCAGCACCCACATCAAGTGGCTCACAATTGTATCTAACTCTAGCTCCAGGTGATCCTCTGGTATCTGCAGGCACTGCACTCACTTGCACGCCCCCCACATACACATAATTTAAATTTTTTAAATATATATTTTTAAAAAGAGATGCTCAAAGGCCAGGCACTTTTAATCCCAGCACTTGGGAGGCAAAGGCAAGTGGATCTCTGTGAGCCCAAGGCCAGCCTGATCTACATAGCGAGTTCCAGCTGGGGCTATAGGGAAACCCTGTCTCAAAGAGAAAGAGAGAGAGAGAGAGAGAGAGAGAGAGAGAGAGACTCAAAATCCAAACCACAGAGAAAGAAACTGGCATGTCCCAGTGGACTGGATCATCCATGCCAATCCAATGTGCTGTTGCTTCCACAGCCAGATACACAGTACAAAGGGGGTTGTGCAGATGCTTGCCCTGCCCAACCCATGGTGCCAGCTGGGCCTCTCCCACTCTCCCAGTCTGGAGAGATGCTAGCAGGACAAACTTCCTGCCATCTGTCACCAGTGGGTGGCCAGGATTTAAGGGGTTGATCCAACTTTGCTGTCCCAAGTGCCTATTATATGCAATGATGAGCCATAGGCTCCTGACTCACAAGAAGCAGTCTCACTGTGCTAGGATCTCATCCCTGTCAGCAAAATTTGGAGGTTACACCACCATTTGGGGGGATGGTTAATATTGAATGCCAACTTGACAAGACTCTAGAATCACCTAGGAAATAAACCTCTGGGAATGTCTGTGAGAAAGTTTCAAGATTACATTAATTGAGATGGGAACGTCCACCCTAAATGTGGTCAGCACTGTTTCACAAACTGGGGTCCTTGACTGAGCACCAGGATTCATCTCTCTGCTTCCTGACTGTGGACACAATGTGACCAGCTGCCTTACACTCCTGCCACCAGGCCTCCTCAGCCATCATGGACTCAAAATGTGAGCCAAAATAAATCCTTCCTCTCTTTCCTCAGGTATTTTGTCATAGCAACAGGAAAAGTAACCAGTGGACACACCAAGTTTCTTGGGACTACGTAAATGGCCTCAGAAGGCCCAGTCCCTTTGAACATCAAGAAAAAAATGGCTGATTCTTCATCCTCTCACCACCAAAAAAGAAGCCTGACACACTGCTGGATTTTTTTTTTTTTTTTCAATTGGAGTCAGTGGCTCACTACGTAGCTCAGGCTGGCCTTGAACTCACAATCCTCTGGCCTCAGCCTCCCAAGTGCTAGGATTATAGGCATACAAGAATGGAAATGGATATGTTCCCTTGACTCAGTGGGAGGAATTGCATTCTGAAATCTACCTGCCAATGTGCTAGGATCAAGGGGAGAGGGCTCTGGGAAGTAACTGGGTCATGACAGCAGTAGCCTTGTGAATGAGATCACAGCCTTGAAAGAGAGGCCTAGGAGGCTAGGGAGAAGGTGTGGAGAGTCAGAGCTTGCCACACAAAAATGAGAACCAGAATTCGGATCCCTAGAACCCACATAAATGTTGGTGGGCATGGCAGTTGCTGCAATTCCAGCACTTAAAAGGTAGACACAGAGGATACCTGGAGCAAGATGGCTAGCCAGGCAGGCCAATCAGTGAGCTCTGGGTACAAGTGAGAAACCCTGCCTTAACAAATGAGGTGGAGAATGACCCAGGAAGACACACAATGTCAACCTCTAGCCTACACACAATATGCACACACTGGTGCCTCTGAGTCCTGGCTTGCCCCTCTGCCACATGAGGACACAGAAGGTATCATCTACGAAGCAGAAAGCAGGTACTCACCAGACACTAGCTGCCACAGCCATGATCACAGCCTCCAGAATGGTGAGAAATAAACTACTGTTGTTTACAAGCCTCCCTGCCTCTGGTGTTTTCTCATAGCAACCTGCGCAGACTAAGATATGAGGAGAACCCTAATCCAACAAGATTAAACAGGCACTTGTAAAAAACACCACATGAAGACCAAAAAAAAAAAAAAACAAACAACAAACAAACAAACAAAAAAAAAAAACGTTTTTGAAAACAAGAGCCCCTAGTAACCCCAACTGGCCTGACAACCATAGGCTGTGAGATCAAGGTCAGTCTGGTCTATATAGCAAGTAGGCCAGCTGGAGCTACAGGGAAACAAACAAACAAACAAAAAAAAAAGACGTTTTGTGAGACAGAGTCTCCCTGTAGCCCCAGCTGGCCTGGAACTCACAGAGATCAGCCTGCTTCTGCTTCTGCTTCCTGAGGTATGAGCCACCAAAACAGAGAATGTAAATAATGTGCCTCTAAACCAAATGCTGGAGGCCATTAGAAGGTAGGAGACAGGCACAAGACAGGTTCTCCCTCAGAAGCCTTGGAAGGCCCCAACACTGCTTGTCCTAGTTAGCTTAACTGTCAACTTGACCCAGCCTAGAGTCACCTGAGAAGGGAGTCTCTACTGATCAGATTGGCCTATAGGCATGTCTGGAGTTTGGGGAGGGGGATCATCTTGTTTGTTAATTAATGTAAGATGGCCCAGCCCATGGTGAGCAGTACCATCCCTTGGGCAGGTGATCCTGGGTTGTATAAAAATGCTAGCTAAGCACTGGCCTGTGAGTCAATAAGCAGCATTCCTCCAAGGTTTCTGCTTCAAGTTTCTGCTTGAGTTCCTGCCCTGACTTCCCTCAGTGATGAACTGACCTGTAAGCTAAAATAAACCCTTTCCCTTCTTCCTAGGTTGCTCTTGGTCAGAGTGCTTTAGTCACAGCAACAGAAAGGAAGATATGACAGTACCCAATACCTTATTCCATAAGCATGGGCTTGAAAGCTCTGAGACGGTGGAGTTCTGCTGTTTTAAGCCATTCTGCCAGTGGAGCTTTGTTCCCATAGTCCTAGGAAACAGACGCAAATGCCAAATTGGAACGATACAAGTGAAAGGGGCTCTGGATGGGAACAAGCTGCAGAAGAGGAGGCACGAACAGCAGGATTGTTTTCAGTGCATGTGTGCACGCATGTGCACATGTGTGAACATTTGTAGGGGCCAGAGTACAACATCACATGTCATCCTCAGGACTGCTATCCACCTCCTCTGGGACAGGCCAAGTAGGCTAGGCTGGCTGGCCACAGATCTCCAGGGATCTGCCTGTCTCCACCTACCCAGTGTTGGGATTACAGTGCATGCCACCACATCTGGCTTTTTTATATACATTCTGGGGAATCGAACTCAGGTCCTCCCAACTAACCCACCCTCCTAGTCCCTGAATAACAGTTTTAATATTATATTTCTTTGTTTAAGCTCAAACTTTTTTTTTTTTTGTCTTTTTGAAACAGGGTCTCCCTGTAGCTCCACCTGGCCTGGAACTCCCTATATAGACCAGGCTGGCCTTGAACTCACAGAGATCCACCTGCTTCTGCCTCCCAAGTACTGGGATTAAAGGCATGCACCACCACGCCCTGCTAACTTTCACCTTTTTTAAGTAACCTAATTATTCAAATAAGACTACCAACTCTCCCTCAAAATTATGTAATCTCTTAGTCTATCAATCCATGCTAAAAAGCAGTTAACTAATTATAAATGGTGTCAATAAAGGCCACACAAAGGCCACCAAGGTGGTTCAGACTTGAAACTGCCAAACTTGAACCTGAGTTCGATCGACATCAGAGAAGGAGAGCTGACTCCCACAAAGTGTCCTCTGACCTTCTCATATGCACTGTGCCATATGCATGCAGTATATGCATGAGTGAGGATGTGCACACATGCAAACGCACACACACACACACACATATGCAAATAAATGAAATGTAAAAAGAAAAAAAAGAAATACCACATGAGGTGACATGCTCAGCAAGTAAAGCACCTTCAGGACAAGCATGAGTATCTCGGTTTGATTCCCTAACATCCACATAAAAACTGGGTGTAGTAGAACCTATAATTCCAGCGCTGGGGTAAATGAGACATGAAGATCTCTGGAGCCTGTTGGGCAGACAATCTAGGTGAAACAGTGAGCTCCAGATTGAGTGAGAGATCCTGTCTCAAAAACAAAGTGAAAAGTGACAGAGGAAGACAGCCAGCGACAATGTCTACCTGGGCATGCATATGCACACATTTATTTTCATGTATGTGTGTGTGCTCGAGTGTACTGTGCAGGTACCTGTAGAGGCCAGAAAAGGGCATCAGATGTCCTGGAACTGCCCAATGTGGGAGCTGAGAACTGAGCCTGGATCCTCTGTGAGAAGAACTCAACCACTGAGCTCTCTTCAGGCCAGCCAGGGTTATATAATGAGACCCTGTCTCAAAAAAAAAAAGAAGGAAAGAAAGAAAAAAGGGAAAAGCGGAAAAGCCAGGTTCCTTTTACTCAGTTCCAGGACTCATGAAAGAACAGGAGCAAACTATTTGCTTTTGTTATTATTGTCTGTTTCAGGCTTCTGTGTTAAGAAATCATACTCCTGGTGGTATGACAGCTACCTAGCAAACCAAACACAAGCATAGGTTCATATGCTCATCCATAATTCTCAAAACTCCAGCAAAGTGAGGACAGTCACCCCCCCCCCCGATTTCACGGATGAGGACAGCAAGTGTAAATTACGGTAAAGACTGCTCATTGAATAGCAGAGCAAAGGGTAAATATGTAACACCCAACTTCCAATCAGAGCAAACACTACTGCACTAAGAAAGTATCTGATCTGCTATAAACAACTGGTTTCACTGGGGCAATCAGAAAGTGCTGCTAGGAGAGGTCAACTCCACATTTTATTTTGGCAGTACTCAAGGCAGGAAGAGTGATGTGTCTGATAAACTATTTCTACAGGGAAATACTAAAAAAAATGTGCATTTTTAACAAAATCTAATGTCTGTCATTGAAACTCATATCCAGTGGGCAAACCAGTAAGTAGCTAACCACCTTGATTCTTTTTTATTTCCTTCTATTTTTTTTAAAGTGTGTGTGTGTGCGCAAGCATGCACACAGGTGTGCAGGCATGGCACAGTGCACCAGCAGAGGTCAGAGGACAACCTTGGGTGTCAATCCTCACCTTCACCCTCTTTGAAACTGGGTCTCGTTTGCTGCTGTGTACACCAGGCTATCTGGACCATGAGCTTCTGGGGCTCTGTCTCTTCTTCCCATCTCTCTCCCCATAGGAGTGCTAGGATTACAGATGTGCACTGAGTCCAGCTGTTACACAGATTCCGGGTACTGGAACTCCTCACCCTTGCACTGCAAGTGTTTCACCCACTGAGCAGTGTCCACAGCCCACCCAGGATTCTTAAGAATGTCCTACTGATAAGAATAGGAGGTAGGAATTGACTAGGAAGTTAGGGTAAAAAGACCCCAAAGAAATGTAGCCAGTTTCTTGGCTAAAAGTCAAAATGTCATTGGGCCTGTTAGCAACATACTCTGTTCCAAAGGCCAAAACTGTCAAAAAGTATTTGAGAGCTTGTATCTAATCCTTAAAAGATTTTAGGGTTACCTCTTCAGAGGTGGGAATGTTGGAGGGGAGGGAGCGGGCATGGATTTGATCAAAACACCTTATATACATGTATGAAATTCTCAATAAAGTTTTTGTAAAATTTTAAAAAAAAATGTCCTACTGGAAGCCTCAGTGACCTTCTACCTTGTGACCTAGCTTTCCAATAACCACATTAGCACTAAGGTTTCACTAAAGAGAGCAGCTCAGGGAGAATTCATTGAACTTTAAAATTTACACCTGGGAGTGGGGGCAAGATAGCTCCACAGGTACTTGTCTCCAAGTCTGATGACCTGAGTTTGATCCAAGACCCACATGATGGAAAAAGAGAACCAACTCCTGCAAGTTGTTCTCTGACTCCCATGTGTATGTCCACACACGTATACATGCATGTAAAATAAAGCGTAGTAACAAAAATAATCTTTAAAAGAAAAGATTTACACAGGAGTTACAAATTCAGGATCCAATGTACTTTATAGAAATAATTTTTCAAACTGCTATTTATTATTTTTGTTTGTTTGGTAGGTTTTGTGTTGTTTCATTTTTTGAGACAGTCTTGCTATGTACCCAAGCCTAGCCTCAATGTTGAGATACTCTGGCCTCATCTTTCCAAGTGCTAGGATTACAGGTGTCCCCACCATGCCTAGAAATAAGCTTCAGGGCTGAGAGCATGGCTCAGCGGTTAAGAGCGCTCACTGCTTAGCCTTAAGATTTGCTCTTAACATAAGATTGAAAGGTAGAGGGAGAAAGGCAGACAGACTAGGGGCCTGAGGACCTGACGCATGACAGGGTGATGGGTTAGTTTCCTGGGGCTTCCTGGGTCTCAGACATGGAGCTGAGAAAATCACCAACCACAGAAACACAAACAGGTGAAGAAAAAAAAGAGAAAACCTGGGGTCTGGAGAGATGCCCCAACAGTTAAGAACACATGCTACAGAGGACCTGAGTTTGGTTCCCAACACCCATGTAGGACAGCTCACAATCTCCTGTAACGACCGCTCCAGGGAATCTAACACCCTCTTCTGGCCTTTGTAAGCACCCACAAACACATGTGCACATATAGTTACGTAGACCCAAACATGCATAACTAAACTAAAAATAATTTTAAACACACACACACATCATACACAAACACACTAATAAAAATTTTAAAATAAAATAAAAAAATGGAGAGATGACTCAGCAGTTAAGAACACTTGCTGCTCTTCCAGAGGACCTGAGTTTGGTTCCCAGCACCTATACTGGGTGGCGCCCAACTGCCTGTAAGTCCAGGTCCACGGGCTCTGACATCCTCTTCTAGCCTCCATGGACACCTGCACACACAGCATACACTCACACAGACACATAATCACATAAATAAAAATAAATATTTTTAAAAGAATGCAGAAAAAATAATTAAAAAATGTTTTTTGTAAAAAAGGTGGCTAGCCAGGCATGATGATGCATGCCTTTAATCCCAGTACTTGGGAGGCAGCGGCAGGCAGACCTCTATGAGATCAAGGATAGCCTGGTCTACATATCAAGTTCCAGACCAGCTGGGGATACAGAGAGACCCTGTCTCAAAAGAAAACAACAACAAAAAGGTATATGGTGCCTGAGACACCAGCTGAGGTTGTTTTCTGGCCTCCACACATACATACGCATACATGCACACATGCACACATACAGACATATGCAAAGACACTAAAACAGGGTATGACCTTGAACATATTATCCTCCCCTTCCTCCCAGCCAGCCTAGAACATTTCCCCACAGTCTCCCACCCCCAAGTTGTCTTGGTGTCTAATAACCTCAGCCCTCCCAGAGGTGAAGATGGGAAAAAATGATACCACGGGCATGCCTCACACACTCACTCTCCTCACCAGCACCCTGATGTAGCTCTCACAACATCCTGAGAAAGAGAATGGCAAAGGGGAAGAGGGTGGCTTAGACATTCAGCTGTCAAGTCTCCTCTCCCCGCAGCTGTGGGGAAAGTCCTGCTTGCCTTCATACTCACCCTCTTGGCTCTGTCCTCCTTCAGTACTCACAGAGCCCAAGACTCAGCCTCTCTCACACTCCTCCTGAAGCACTTCCCAAATGCCTGCTACTGCTGGAATCTGGCCAGAGGAGTCACATTCTAAAAAATGGGAGAGTGTTAACTCACCAACCTCATCTTCCAAGAAAGGTCTCTTACAACAGTTCATTTCTTAATGATTAGATTACTATTTTAGAAATTAGAAGTTTCATTTACAGCATGAAACTTAACCTTAAACCACTCTTCACACCCACTGGGCAAGAATAATTTCCACCTGTTCATGCATTTTGTCCATCTGGCTTAAGTTGCCAGCAAGGGAAGCTTGTGGATATAGGAATAGAGAAAACAACTTTAAAGTGACCAGGAAACTCTCTCCCTACTGGCTAGCTTATATGGTGCTAGAAGAGTCTATGCAGGCTGCTGGGGGAGAAAAGATAACAATGGTCCTATCTAGGGCTGGACCCTGCATGTTACAATACCAATCTGCCTAGAAACATGCTTGCATTAGTGAAATAGTGGCGTGATGGTTATGGGGTAACCAACAGCTCTGATTAGAGGAAGCCTGCTCTAGAAGGATTTCATGTCCAGTCCTGTAAATCGCTCAATCTGGCTTAAGTTGATTGCAAGGGAATCCTGGGGGCAGTCAAAATTATTTCCCAGGGGCATGAGGGCAAGCTGCAACAATGACTATGGCCTCTCTATTGATCAGCTGGGTCAGTCTGGCTGACAAGTTGGCTAGTCAGGCTCCCTCATGCTCCCCCAGCCCTCTTCTCCCAAAGCTGGGAATGCTACCAAGAGATTACAGAGGATTCCGGTCAGAGTTCATCTGCTTTGTTCTAGCTCACGGTTGCACACTCAATTCTAACAAATTCAGTTGGTTTCCAAGTTCACAGATAAACAGAAGGAATTTTTTTGGCTATTTTTGTCTCTGTGTGGGGAGCATATACCTATGTGTATAGGTGCACATGCCATACACGTGCAGAGGTTGATGTTGGGTCAACCCAACACTCCATCCATCTCCACCTTCTTTTTTGAGATGGGGACTCTCAGTGAACCCAGAGTTCACCAACAGGCTATCCTGGCTGACTAGGGAGCTCTAGATATCTATATCTGCCTCCCCAATGCTGGAAACGCAAGTGGGGGTCTAGGGATCTGAACTCAAGTCCCAATGCCTGCATGGCAGACACTACCAGCTGAGCCATCTCCCAATTCCACCCCCCCACACACACTTTTGACAGGGTCTCCTGAACAGGATGGCCTCAGGTTCACAGAGATCAGCCTGCCCCTGTCTCTCTCTTTTTTTTTTTTTGCTTTTGAAACAAGGTTTTGCTATGGAGCTCAGGCTGTCCTCAAACTTTCAGTGATCCTCCTGCCTTAGTCTACAAAGTGCTTGGACCACAGGTGTGTGCCACCAAGTACAGCCAGAAGGAGCAAATCTTCACAGGGAAAAAGCACTTTATTCATTCAACAATCATTTGTCGAGGGCCTAAGATGCAAGTGACCTGTATTCGCCTTCGTTTATGTATAGGAGAAAGCAGAAAAATAAAATGACAATATGTGAAAGTTGCTCATATGGACATAAATTGAGCTGAGAGACTTACAGTTTCTCAGGATTATCAAGAAAAATGATCTTTCCTAGTCTTGTAGATACATAAATAACATTCATATGACTTACCCCAAATACACTCTGGTTTATTTTAAAAATTAAATTCTTAGGGCTGGGGAGATGGCTCAGTCAGTAGTGTTTGCCATTCGAGCATGAGAACCTTGTATTCAATAACCAAAAACCACACAAAAAAGTGAGGCATGGTAAACAGACACATGAGGGAGACAGACACCAGAGGGCCCCTGGGGCTTGCTGGCCAGCTAGCCTTTCTTACTTGGGGAGTTCCAAGCCAATGAGAACTCTGCTTCAATAAATAAGGTAGAGAATGCCTGAGGAATGATACCTAAAGTTGTCCACTGGTCTCCACCTGTATGTGCGCGCGCACACACACACATCTGGAACCACTAGATGGAACTAGGAAAGTGAATTATATTCCTAACAAGCAACCTTGAACTATATACAGAACATCAAGATTTCCAATAATCTTGCTGTCTGCATCTAGTTAAAGCTCAATTGCACCAACTGATCTTTCAGAAGTATGTGATAAGGAAAATTCAGAAGCATCTGATCTTTTCAGATCTACTTCAGCTGGACGTAAAGAAAAAAAAAAAGGTTCTAGAGGCTGGAGAAATGGCTCAGCAGTTAAGAGCAGGTTGCTGCTCTTGCAGAGGATCTGGGCTCAGCTCCCAGCACCCCCATGGCAGCTCATAACTGTCTCTAACTCCAGTGCCAGGGGATCCAATGCTCTCTTCTGGACTCCACAGGCACTGCACACACATGGTGCACTTAAAATGCATGCAGGCAAAATACTCATACACAAAATAAATAAAAACCAGTTTTAAGGTTCTAAATTATCACTTAGGAAGAAACTTGCATTCCTTACACTTCACAGGTACTCTTTCCAGATTTAACTCCAAAATCATTGTGTCTTTTGCTTTCTGAAGAAGTGATTCACAAATTGACATATCTAGACATATTCCCTATAATTAAATGTCCCCTGCTTCCCAAACATTTCATAAAGGCTGACCTGTGCAAAGTTAATGACACCTGAAAGCTTGCACCTGTAACTTTCTGTTTCTGCTGCTGTAAGCTGAACCTGGGGCCTCAAATATACTAGGCAGGCACTCTGAGCTACACTCCCAGCCTTCCTGGCCCCCATTTATAAACCACTCAAGCTGTGTGATGGGGTGGAGGGTAGAAAAGGTGTCAGTCTCTTGTCCAGGCTCCGAAAGATAGGTCCTTACTCCACCATCTCCGCTCGAATCCTCTGATGACTTTCCATTTTAATCAGTATGATCGCTTGCATCCCCAGAACTGTCGGTTATGCCATCATGTAGCCAGTCTACCATTTTCTTAATTCTCCAGCCTCATCCTTCCTACTTAATCTCTCATTATCTGTGCCTTCTTAATAAGCTGTCTCTATTTCCTGGTACAGTTTTTTGGCCTGGGACACAAGGGCCCTGACTCAGATGCCCTCTGAACTCAGATCCTCTGTTCCACACTAAGCATGCTTTCCCTGACACCTTGGATATCTGTTTCTCTGATCTCCACGCCTAACTTAAAAGACATGGCTTTAGCCAAGCCTGGTGGTGCACACCTTTAATCCCAGCACTCAGGAAGCACAGGCAGGTGGATCTCGGGCCATCCTGGTCTACACAGCAGGTTCTAGGCCAGCTGGGGATACCAAGCTCGAACACGAACAGCAAAATAAAAGGCATGGCTGTTTCCATCTCTCTCCGGGCAGCTGGAACACATTGTTTACTCTTGCTCTCTACTAGAATGCTCCTTCCCAGACTTACAGGGCTTGCTCCAACAGCATCTTCTCTCAACCCCCAACACGGACGCACATACACTATTTAAAATGTCCAACTCTTTATACCCTTAAAAAACCCTATAATTTATTGAATTAACTATTAGACCACTATAAGAAGCTCCAAGATTGCAGGGATTATGTTTTGTCCACTGCTGCGTCTCCAAGGTCTTAGAACAGAGTACTTGTCTGACCAAGTGTTCACTAAACCTTTAAGGATGAAAAGTTATTCAGAGGCTCGGTCCACCTCTTCCGTTCACGTTTAAGACACATTCTCTGTCCTTACAAAGCACCCGATGGAGCACTGCACCGCAAATATAAACCATGCACGTGTTAGGGGTGCAGAACAGAAAACAAAGGGGAACAAGCACAGAAGAAACGGCTTGATCCAGCCGGCACCATCGCCACCACCGCGCCGTGCACTTGGAATTCTCCCTAGATGTCCCGGAATGGGTCGCAGACACCCCACGTCCCAGTCTGAGAAGTTACTAGACCAGGGATGCTACTGGAGGCCTCTGCCCACCTGGCATGAGATTTAGAGGAAAAGAACCATATTGGCCTCTACTCTCCTGCCGCAGCACCCCAGTCAACTCCACCTCCGTCCCCACACAGCTCCTGTCCTACTGCCCTCACCACACAGTACCGGGTACCCGGCGAGAGCTCCCCACCTGCTCCCGGCGTACCTTGCGGCTCCTCCCCGCGCATGCGTAATACATCCCCTCGCAGGAGGGGAGGGCTTGTGCATCCGGTCGCGCTGGACACGCCCCCAAAGGCAGAGCAGATTTCTGATTGGCTGTTGACGCTCGCCCGAGCAGGGTCGTAAACCAGGGTCTGTGCTTTTAAAGGCGCTCGCCGGAGTTCCGGGGAACTTGGTTACTTTGTCTTCTGCGCCTGCTCCACGGTCTCAGGGACCCAGATCACCTCGCCAGCATGTCTCAGGTAGTGCGCGTGCCCGGCCAGGCTGCAAAGATGCAGCGGGCTTGGGGATCGTCCTGCAGCGGGAACCCCGCGGGGTCTCTTCCCCCGGATGCCACTCAGCTGCTCTGGGATCCAAACCCAGCTCATAGCCTGGAGAGCGGAACTTTTTCCTTTGCAGATTTCTGAAACTGCCACCCACACCGCAAGTGCTCCAAAGTTGCCCATGGACTGGGCTTCGGGGTGAAGCAGGCACAGGGTCTTCGATAGAAATTGGGCAGTCTGGGGTGGAGAACAGGAAAGATTGACTCCCAAACCCAGAAGGACCCAGCAGAACAGAGGGGGAACGCGTGGAGGCCAAGGCTGAGGAGCTTTGAGGTCAGGGGGCGTAAGTACTGGTGGCCTGGCATGATGCCCCTGTAACAGGAGAGATGCGGTAAAGAGAGGTGACCCAGAGGCCTTTCCCTCCTTGGAGACCCTTGTCCTAGACTGAGCTCTGTGAGAGGACCTCTGGCTCCTCCCACCTGCCTCTTCCTAATCTGGGCACTGGGACAGAGGTCAACACTAAACTCCTGGTCCCAGTGGGAAGGGGCCAGGCAGCTGCTGACCCTGGACTCCACTGCATTCGGTGTCCTGAACCCTGATCCACTGTTTGTGATCACGCCATCTCCACTGATCGTAGGTCAGGGCTTCACTGGGATCCCAGCCATTATCGGGGCCAGTGGTGGTCAGGCAGTTCGACACCAATTTTCAAAGGCGTGGACGGCCTCTGTGGGGCAAGTCTTGGGCTGTCTGTTCACCATTGTGTTTCCAGCTCTTGACCTGAGTCTATAAGAACACCAGTTGGTTAAGTGGACAGATGACAGATGACTTTTTATTGCATCTCTCTAGCGTGCTTGTTATAGAGAAGACAGTTTTGGAGGAGTGCTGCTTTTCTACCTCTCATCCCTCCCTGGACCTCTCCCACTCACAGGCATCCTTCATCCCTCTCCTTTCCCTCTCAGGCTGAGTTTGACAAGGCAGCTGAGGAGGTGAAGCGCCTCAAGACACAGCCAACTGATGAAGAGATGCTGTTCATCTACAGCCACTTCAAACAAGCTACTGTGGGTGATGTAAATACAGGTATGTCCTGCTTCTCAACAGAGCCGGCTCCTGCCAAGTGGCTCAGCAGCCCCAGCTGGAAGTCTGTGGGAACTTCAGTCCCAATTGCTTGGGGCCTTCATGTTGAGGCAGGGCGTGGTGACATGGTTCATTGGCTTCCAGACTTTAAGCCAGGAGAATTTCATCTGCAAAGACCATCTTCCTGGGCTCTCAGTGACGCAGGGAGCAGGATTCAGTCCTGGTTTTAGGAGGGTTTTACTATGTTGGTATCTACTGTGATGGAAGTGAAGGCCTCAGCAGAGGAAGCTTGTTCGAAGGCCCTCAGCTCAGTAGTAACTTTGTGGAGCCATACTGCTTCCACCAGATGAATAGGGTTAGTGAGCATTTGGCAGCCTCCCCAAGCCTAATAGAGAAACAGGGCCACATCCTGGGGCAAGTCAGAAGTGATTTTGCTGGCTGCCAAATGACTTCTTTTTTCTGTAGCCAAAAATCTTGGTGTAGACATTTTCGTGTGGGCGGGTACATGTATATGTGCAGGCCAATGGACAATCTTAAGTATTCTGCCACAGGCATCATCCACTGTTTTGTTTTGTTTTTTGTTTGTTTGTTTGTTTTTTTGGTTGATTGGTTGCTTAGTTGCTTTTTGTTTGTTGAGATGGGAGCTCCCCCTGGCCCAGAGTTCACCAAGTAGGCTAGGCTGACTGGCCAGCAAGCCCCAGGGATCCCTCTGCCTCCACCTTCCCAGAACTAAGATTACAAGCACAGCACCACACAGGCTTTTTTTTTTTTTCTTTAACATGGGTCTGGGAATCAAACCAGTCTTCCTACTTACTTGCAAACAGAGCACTTTACCAACTGATCTGTCCTCCCAGCCCCTTGCTGTAGATTTTGAAGCTATGCTGTGGATTACCATAGTCTATTATTCTAATATTGTCTTTCTTGCTGCCTTGGGCAGTTTTCATTCTGCCCCAGATCCTGCCATGTGGCTGCATACTGAGGTAACTGCACAGTGTGTTCCATTAAGGACTCATGACAACACAGAGGGAAATGCCCCCCTCAGCCACCCACCCATGTTCAGGAGGAAGGTAGGCATGGCTCTCAATTCCACTGGAGCTAGGGTTGTAGGCCAAGCAAGTAGGTGAACTGCTGGCCAAATGTACCCAGAGCTAAGGATCATGGATAATGCCATGTCAAACACTGTAGTTCCTGTCAGAGCTTAGTTAAGGAAGGATTGTGTCAGAGGTTTTAAGAACATCCAGGAACGGGAAGGAGACATGACATGAGGAGGGAGCAAAGAAGCTGAGGTGCTTTTCTGAAAGATAGTATTTTCCTAGAGCCTGGCCTTTAGCCAAACTCAAGTGTGAGTATGGGTATACGGCCTTCAATCACCATCTGATCAGGGGGCTATTGGTCTTCTTTAGGACCTTACTGTTCAGTACTGCAAGGACTAGCCACATTTGGGTTTTAACTGAAAATGGTTAAAATTAAATAATGTCAAAAGCTCGGTCTCTAGCCACATGTTTTAAGAGTCAATATGGGGCATTTGCTTTCTGAACTGGATGTTTGCAGGGGCCAGCAAGATGGTTCAATGGGTAAGACACTTGCTGCCAAGCCTGACTATCTAAGATCAATCCCAAGGGCCCACATGGTGGAAAGAGAAAACTGATTCATGCGAGTTTTCCTCTGATGTCCACATGTGTACAATAGCATGCTTGCATCTCTCCTATACACAATAAATTGAATGTCACAAATACAAATTTCCATCTTTAAAGAATGGGCTGTCAGAGAATGTTGCTTTAGGATTCCAAGGGTTCCTCTACAGGAGCAATCTCTTTCAGGTATCCCAAAGAGTACATCCTGCAATTCTTAGGAACTTATCCCCATACATAGTACCCCAAACTATAGATGCTACAGTTGCTCCCCCTTGACAGTGACATAGGCCCTAAGAAAGGAAGGGCTTCCCCATACAGATGATCTGGAAGCATAACTTAAATAAACATTGCCCTCAGTAAAAACCCCTGCACATCAACAAGAAGTTCAGCAATGTGGTAGGAAAATGAGACCAGGCTATAAAGACAGTTCACAGGCAATGGTGCCCAGAACATATAACAGTAATGCAGCAGGGAGAGAGACCAGGTGGCCAAGAGCAGAGGGATGAGAAAAGTTTGATGGAATTTCCCCTTAGAGCCTTTAAAGTTTGAACCATGTGAAAGGATGTTTGTTTTAATTCGATTAAAGTACAGGTTTGGTTTATTTGAGACAGGGTCTCATGTAATCCAGACTGGCCTCAAACTCACTATATAGCCAAATGATGATCTTGACCTTCTGTTCCCCCTGCCTCTACCTTCCTAGTCCTGGATTACAGACATTGACCACGAGTTACCACCTAGTTTATTCAGTGCCAAGGATTGAGCCCAGGGCTTCATGCCTACTAGGTAAACACCAACTGAGCCACATCCTCAGACCTATTATTATTTAATATTTTGAGACAAAGTCTCACTAAGTTTCCCAGCCTGGCTTTGAACTCACTTGCTCTGTAGGCCAGGCAGGTCTTGAGCTTACAGTCCTCTTGCCTCAGCTTCTAGAGTGGCTGGCATCATGGGTCTGCCCCTCCAAGCCTAGCTATTGTTGTTTTTTTTTTTATTTTTTTATTTTTATAGTTTGAGGGTTTGAGACAAGTTCTGGTGTTATGGTTTGGGGTTTGGGACAGGTTTTTTCTCTTGAAAGAATGTTTTAGCCATGCTGGATCTGTATTTTCCTATAGAATTTAGGATCAATGTTTTGATTTCTTGAATAACAAACTGTCTCTAAAGAGGTTTTTTTTTTTTTTTTTTTTTTTTTTTTTATTTTTATTTTTTTGAAAGCAAGAGAGAGAGAAAGAGAGAGAGCGAGAGAAGGTCTTGTGTATTTGTGTAGCTCAGTAGCCCAGGATGGCCTAGAACTAGCTATGTAGCCGAAGATGACCTTGAATGTCTGATCCTCTGCCTCCTCTTCCTGAGTGCTGGGATTACAGCTGTGTACCACCATTCAGGGTTTAGGCAGTACTGAAAATGAAACCCAGAGCTTTGTGGATGTTAGGTAAGCAGTCTACTAAGCAAGCCACATTCTCGTCCCCAGAGTACAGTTTTTTTAAAGTAAAACTTTGGCTTTTAAATATTTAGCTTGAAGTTCAAAAACCTAAGAACACTTTTAATACTGTTTTCTTTAGATTTGAAGTTTGGATTGCTATACATCTGGGTTTCTTAAAATAGAACCCATTGTGCAATGGGAGTCAGTCCATTAAAAACTATCTTGGCTTTCATGGGAAGAAAGTTGATAAAGTTACCCATTAGAACTTGTAGCAAATCTGAATCCTGTCTTTCCCACCTTTGTTTCAGATCGGCCTGGGTTGTTGGATCTCAAAGGCAAGGCCAAGTGGGATGCTTGGAACCAGCTGAAAGGTACCTATTCTGATCAACTCTCTCCTTTGTGAAGCTGAGCCATGAAAGTCCCTTCATTCTGGAGTGTGAGAGGGAGGGGAAGAAACAGAGTTCAGGAGGCACATGTTGGAAACCAGCCCAGCTTGCCCAGAGTTGGGGAAAAACTGGGCTGCCTACTTTCCCTCTGAATAAGAGCTCCGTCTCTGACCAGAGGCATTCATTATCCAGAGAGAAATGGCTGGGGGACCAGGTCACTGGGAAACAAACTGCAAGGTGACATTGTTAGTATGGATTTTGAATGTGTTCAGAGTAAGGAGACTTCTCCTGTCTACATATCTGTCTCCCCACCAAGGCCAGGCAGTAACCCTTTAGCCTACTTGCCTTTCCCTAATTCCCTTCCAGCCAGAAGGGTACATGAAAAGGGATAAGATAATACATGGCCAGTGATTAGAGCTATTATATTCGGAGTATAAGCAGCCAAGAAGTGTCTAGGCTCTGACTGAATCACATGCCCCCATGGCAGTGAGCCCCAAAAGCTGGCACCAAAGCCACTGGCAGCTTTTGTGTCCTTACTAGCCAGTTGCTGAATAAGCCTTCTGTCTCCTTGCAAGTGAGAAAGCCATGAATTCAGGAAGGGCCCAGCACACTAAATGTACTGCTAGGGGGATGCCTGTCTGGCTATCCATCTTCCACACCATTCTCAGGCCATCTAGTGCTTCACAACAAGCTCTCTCAGCCCCTGGGCCTCTCACTGCCTGAGAGAATCCAGGAAACTGAGTGTGACTGTCCTTTGGGATGTATTCAGTGTCCCTCATGCTTCGACAAGCACACAAAGGTTTGCCTCATTCCTCTCCAAGAACTGACTGCTTTTGCTCAATCTTCAACCTCTTCTCCCAGTTTCTCTCTGGGGAGAAGAGGGTGGCTGGTATGGCATTTTCACAGCCAACAGAGCAGCTTTGGAAGACTAAGAACCCAACAGAGATAGCCAATAAGCTAAAGCCAAGCATGACCTCAGCAGCACCAGGGTGCCAGTTGCCTGCCTATCTAGAAGGCCAAGGCCCATGCTGACTGCTGTCCCACTTTCATGGGCAACCCACCATGCAAGGGCTTAGTGCATTACAGAGCAGAACTAGGCTTCGGGGGCACCTTAATCAGTCCTCGGCCCGTTTCTGAAAATTAGGTGAGGTCTACTTTACACATAATGTACAACCTCCAAAAATTAAACTAGGAAGCCGGGCATGGTGGCACATACCTTTAATCCCAACACCCAGGAGGCAGAGGAAGGTGAATCTTTCTAAGATTGAGGCCAGCCTGGTCTACATAGTAAGTTCTAGGCCACCTGGGACTAGGAGACCTATCTCAAAACCACCCTCTCCCTCCCAAAGAAAATTAAACTGGGGCCAAAGGAGGTGTGTCCAAGCTGTAGCCCAACATACTTGTAGATCATAACAGGTTGAATACCTGGGGCTGAGGCAGTGGCTCAGTCAGTAAGGTGCCTGCTGTGCAAGCATGAGGACCTGAGTTCAGATCACCAGTGCCTACATAAAAAAGCCAAGCCCAGCAGCATGCATCTGTAACCCAAGTGCTGGAGGGAGCAGAGCCAGGAGGATCCTCAGAGCTCACTGGCCAGCTAGTCTAGTTAATCCATGAGCTCTAGGTTCCATAAAGACTCTGTCTCAAAAAATAAAGTGGAGGGCCAATTAGATGGCTCAGCGAGTAAAGATGTTTGAGGCCAAGCCTGATAAACTGAGTTTGAGCCCTGAAGCCCACGTAGTAGAAGAAAAGAACTGACTCCCCAGCCACATGTGCTGTAGCATGCACATATTTTATACACATACACACACATACATATGTACATACATACATACATACACACTAAATAAATGACTAAATAAATAAATAATAAATGATTATTTTAAAAATAAGGTAGGGCTAGAGAGACGACTCAGTGTTTAAGAGCACTTGCTGCTCTTCCAGTGGATCCAGGTTCAGTTCTCAGCAGTGAGACAGTAGGTATCTCACAGTTGCCTATAACTCTAGTTCCAGGGGATCTGACACCTTCTTCCCCTATGGGCACCTGCACACACATGGTGCCTATCTATACACTCAGGCACACACACATACAATTAAATAATAAACATCATTTTTTGCTTTTGCTTTTGCTTTTTCCTTTTTGAGACAGGGTCTCCTGGTAACCCCAGCTGGCCTCCCAAGTGCTGGGATTATAGGAGTGCACCAGCATGCCCAGCCAAAATCTTTTTTTAAAATAAGTAGATACCCAACATTTAACTCTGACCTCCATGTTGCACATGTGTGCATATGTACTCTCAATAGGTACAAGCTTATACACTGCATATACCACAAAAATGCTCACACACACAAATTTAGAAAAAAAAAAAAAAGCTGGACAGACCTTGATGCTTTTCTAGTATGCTGCTTCCCTGGCCTATATTGTATGCCCCATGATTCCTTCCAGGGACTTCCAAAGAAAGTGCCATGAAAACCTATGTGGACAAAGTCGAAGAGCTAAAGAAGAAATACGGAATATAGAAGACTGGTTTGATGGCCCACCACACATGTGACGTATAATGACACAACATCTGCTTTGTTTGTTCTAATGTTGTAGATGATATATTGCTAATAAATTAGGGCCAGAATTAATCACTGACCCTCCTCCCTGAGTAGTTTTTATCTGAAATCAATTAAAAGAACATTTGTTAACTTCTACATCTTTAATCTTCTGGGTTCTTTATATATATAATTTTCTAAATTTATCACATTTTAATTTATGTATTTTGGGTGCATTTTGTGGGTAACCATGTAATGATGCCCATGTGGAGGTCAGAGGACAACTTGCTGGAGTTGGTTCTCTGCTTCCACCATGTGGGTTCTCCGGCCTGGCGGCAGGCACCTTTGCCTGCTGAGCCCTGCTCCAATCTCTACTCTCTGCTTCCTTTTGAAGATGTAGTCTGGGACCAGGGTTGTGGCGCAGTTGGTTGAATGCTTGCCTAGCAGGCAAGAAGCCCTGGGTTCAACTCCCCTACACTGCATTAAAAAAGCAGACGTGGTGCATGCTTATGATCCTGGCATTCAGGTAAAGACTGGGATATCAGAAGTTCAAAGTCATTTCTTGGCAACAGCAAGTTAGAAGCCAGCCTGTGCTACATGGGACTGTCTCATAAAACCAAATAAAAGTTAAAAAAGAAAGATGTGCTCTTAAAGTGGTTCTGCCCTCTTTCTGTGTACCTGGATGGAATGTGACTAGTGGTCACACGTTCCCAGCCCTGCCTGCAGGTGTGCTCAGCCTTGGGGAGGGACAGAGTTAAGGGAAGTTTTTTTCCTTTCTCCCACTCCTAGCCACCCTAAGGAAGATCAGATGAGCTGGCTTGAACGGAACCTATGGATTCTGAAAGCCAGATGTCCTGGGCTGGCCTCAGGCTCCAAGAAGGCAGTACTGACAAGTGTTTGACGTTTTTCTAAAGACCAGCCAGTGCCTGAACCAGAGCAGATGAACAAGAGTGGGAGCCCCTTCCTCTGGGTCTCCCAGGGTTCCTCAGGAAGCTAAGCCACTGATGTGTGGGGGAGCAATTCACCAGATAGCCATGGACTTCCTCAGTGGAGAGAAGGGAGAACAAGGCTTGGGGAAGCCACAGAAAAACAAGGCTGGACTTCCACTGGTGGACTTTCGGTTCAAAAGAAGAGACAGTAGGCAAGAGTGCCCTTACCAGGTGGGTCCCTTATACAGTCCCACGTGTGGGGTACAACAGTACCTTTTCTGGTTTTCTTGGTAAGTATGCTGAGGCTGAAAGGAACTCAGAAGTACTCTAAGGCCAGGCAGCTCTCTAAACTTGTCTCTTCCAAAGCCCAGTCCCTGGTGTTAGACACAGTTCAGCTTCACCCCAGAACAGCTGTGAGGCCTCAGGATGACTTGCCCAAACTCCCTCAGCTGCTTTACTCAATGAATAATCCACTTTCAAACACTTGTCCCCTGGTTCCAAAGCCTGGGCCTGCAGAAGGGAGGAGTTGGCTGCCTGCATGGTTGGGTATGGCATTTTCTGTACCACAGGACAAGTGAGAACAGACTTGAATGTGTAATTGGACCCTAGGCAGAGGGAACACAGTGGGGTAGATGTAAAGGGGCCGTCCATGGACTGGGGAGATAACTTTGAAAAGTGCTTGGGACCTGAGTTAATACCCAGAACTCACACAAAAGCTAGGTGTGGTGTCATGCTCTTGAAATCCCAGTACTAGAGAGAGGCAAGCAGATCCCTAGCACTTGCTGGCCAGCCTAGCCTACCTGGTACGTTATAGACCAGTCAGAGGCCCTGTTTTAAAAGCAGGCAGTGCCTAGCGAGATGGTGCATGCCTTAAATTCCAGCACTTGGGAGGCAGAGGCTGGTGGCTCTGAATTTGAGGTCTGTCTGGTCCCTTTTGGGAGGGGGGGGTCCATTGTTTCAATAGTCTGACAGATTGAAGGACACAAATGGCTCCTTAGAATATCAGTTTTGCCAGACCAGCCATAGAGTAAATGGGTAAGAAGTACTTGACAGCCTTCAAACCTGTTTCTGGTATGGGGGGGAAGGGACAGCTCGGTGGGCAGATTGGCGCCCTCAGGCCCTAGGTCTCCACCTCTAGACTAGTTAGGACCAGACGACTCCTGGCATAAGCCCTGACATTCTGTGGTTCCACAGCACTAAGACTACCTTCTGACTAGGCAGTAATACTCATTTTAAGAAAAGGCAGTGGCCTGAGGCCTTTCAGGGCCACCACTGCCAAGGCCTCTGATTCGTGGCCTGTATGTGCTGAGGACCTGCTAGGAGCCATCACTCATAGTCTTCATTTCAGTTTTGCATTTCACCCCACAGTCCTTTGGTGTGGGGAGTACACCTCATTAGGTTTTGGGGCACAGAATACAGGAACAATAGGAGAGAAAGAAGGAAATTATACCTGACCTCAGACAAAACTAAATTTATTGAAGCACCTCAGCAAGGGCCAGAAGCTTTCCCCTCATGTTATGGCCATTGGGCTTATATAGGATACAGCTGTGGCTGGCTAACTATGCCACACTCTTGTGATGTTTATGGCCCCCTTCCTGGCATCTGGTTTGCTCTGGTTTATCTTGAGAGACAGAGGGTTTATGATCTCCTCTTGGAACCATTTGCTCAAGGAGACAAGTTGTCTTGGGAAACAGGCTATCTCAACAAACAGTTCTCCCAGAAGGGAGGGAAGTGACGGATTGATAACGTAGCTTTCTGCAGGCTTTCGGAAACTGGGGCATTCTATCATAACTTCACTTGATCGTAGGGAATATATTCCAGGATGATGTCTCAAAGGCTGAGACCACTGAGAGTGCCAAACTCCATGTACACTGGGTTTTGTTTGTTTTTGTTCTGGTTTTTATTTGGTTGGGTTTTTTGTTTGTTTGTGTTTATTTAGCATTTTTGTTATTTTTATTTTGTGTGTATGAGTGTTATGCCTGCATTTATGTAAGTGCACTCATGCTGTACAATGTCTTCGGAGGTCAGAAGAGGGCAACGGATCTTTGTGATCTTTCTGCCCCAGCCTCCTGAGTGCTCTGATTACAGGTCTGTACCACCACACCCCATTCCCATTTACTGTTTTTGTACTTGTTTCTCACAGGTGCTGAAAGCACAGAAAGCAAAACGCAGGTGTGGAACACTGCTGCACCATGTGGGGGAATTGCTGTGTCTGTTAGCCAAGCGAGGAGATTAAAGCTTAGGTGATACAAATGGATCCAAGCCCAGGCTCTCTGGATAGGAAGGCTCAATCTGTCCCCTTCTATCGTGATCCCTCTGGCCAGCCCTCAGCTCTGCATCTTCACTGACTGTTGGACAAGAGTGACATCTTAGCTAGCAGGAGCTGCTCTTGTGAAAGCTGTGGAATCCATTCATGAGGACCGGCTTGGCACAGGCAACCTTGCTTTTTAAGAGCCTCAGGTGATTCTGGGACTGAGTCAGGTTTGTCAACCAGCACTACTCACAACCCCCCCTTCCGCCTCCTCCCACTCCCCATACACACACTAGAGAGCTGTACAACTGGTTCCTCGAGAACATTTACATAGTATTCTGAAGAGTCAGGCTCAGCAGCTCTCCTGGGCTCTGGAAGTGAAATAATGAAGGTCCTGGCCTGGCTCCACCATGCAGTGCTGTGCTTCAACTTGACAGAGCTCCAGGCAAACAAATGTGGCCTATCCAAGGATGTCCTCACCACACCAAGGTGGTCCCATTATCCAGAAGTCTGGGGACCAAGAAACATGATTAGGTTACTAGATTGCAAGTCAGAGGTCTTTGGCTTAGCTGCTGCCCAGTTAGACATAGGGCAAGTTATATCACCTCTGGGAGCCTCAGTTTCTTCAGCAATAAAATGGAGCTTAGGGCTGGGGACATGATTCAGTGTTTGTACAAGCATAAGGACCTGAGTTTGAATCCTTAGAACACGTGAAGCTGGGGGAGATACACACATCTGTAATCCCACTGTTCACAGAGGAGAGGCAGAGACAGAAGAGTCCCTAGAAGGTCACAGGCCAGTTAGCCTGGAGAATGCAGTGGAAAAACAAGAGACTCGGCCCAAACAAGGTAGAAGGTGAGGACTGACACCTGACCTTGTCCTCTGACCTCAGCATGTGCTGTGGCACACATCATCCAGTTCCATTTCTGTTGCTGTAACAAAATATTCTGACCAAAAATCAACTAAACAAAGGGTTTATTTGGCTTACAATTCCAAGTTACAGTCCATCACTGAGGAGAAAAGGCAGGAACTCAAAGCAGCTAGTCGCATCACATCCACAGTCAAGAGCAGAGAGAGACAAATGCACTCATGCCAACTGCTGCTTTCAGCTAGCTTTCTCCTCTCCCGCACTGTTCAGGACCTCCTACCTAGGGAATAGTGCTGCCCACAGTGGGCTGGTCTTCCTATATCAATTAATAATCCAGACAGTTCCCCACAGACATGCCCGTGGACCAACCTGATCAAGAAAATTCCTTAATTGAGGCTGTCTTCTCAGGTGATTCTATATTTTGGCAAGTTGACAATTAAAATTAACCATCACAGCTGGGGGTGGTGGCGCATGCCTTTAATCCCAGCACTCAAGAGGCAGGCAGATCTCTGTGAGATTGAGGCTGGCCTAGTCTCCATTGCAAGTTCCAGGTAAGCTGGGGCTACAGGGGAAACCCTGTCTCAAATAAGAGGGCGCTAGAGAGATGGCTCAGTGTACTGGATGCACTTGCAGAGTACCCAGGTTCAGTTCCCAGCACCCACATGGCAGCTAACAATCATCCGTAACTCCTGTTCCAGGGGCTCCAACACCCTTTTCAGATCTCTGTGGGTACTGCATGACATGGGTGCACTTAAATGCATCAGATAATACATTCATACACATAAAATAATTAAAATGTAAAAAAGACGAAAAATTATCTCTCTCACACACACACGCACACACACTTCTTTTAATGGAGCTGAGAAGGCTAGTGAAAGTCACAGGAGTACACAGAGAAGGCCTTACTCAGTGACTGGTTTGACTGGGGCCAAGCAGAGATATAGTGAGGGGTGGCTTCAACAGCCAGATGATTAGAGGTACTTAAATTCCAGGTGTTTGGAGCTGAGGATGAGCCCAAAGAAGTCATCAGTGGGACCACTTTTCCCAGAGTTCCCTCAGCTCAGCCCCTCCATGGTGGAAAAGGTCAGGACAATTCTCCCTCATTTCTTCA